GCTACACCAGTGCCGCCGCCGCGGGGTCGGGCGCAGGCTCTGCCCCGGCCGCGCCCCCGCAGCCCCATGGAGCGGCCCCGCTGCCCGCGCTGAAGGCAGCCCCGACCCGCCCGCAGCGGCAGCCGGCGGAGGGAAGGTGAGCGGCCCCGGGCCGGTGCCGGGAGCAGCGGGGCACGGCGGGGGCAGCGGCGCACAAAGCGGCGGGTTAGAGGTGCCGTGTCATGGGCGGCAGCGGGGGGGGGCGGGCGGCAGCTCCGGCGGCGGCGGCGCTCCAGCCTCCCGCAAACAATGCTGGGGATGAACGCGGCCCCCGCCGTGACCGCCGAGCCCGCCGGGTCGGGTCGGGTCGGTGCGGCGCGTCCCCGCAGCCCAGGCGGCGATGTCGGCGGCGCGGAGCGAGGCTGCCCTGCCCCGCTCCGCTGCCCAGGCCGTGCCCCCGCCGCCCTCCGCCCGGGGCCGGGAGGGTAGGCCGGGGAGCTTTGTGCCGGCCGGGGCCAGCGGGCGGGAGGCAGCCGGCGGGCGCAGCGCCGAGCAGCCCGGCGGGCGCGGGGACCAGGGAGCCGGGGCTGGGGGCGAGGGGGGGACACGCCGCAAAAGTAAGGAGGGAAAGGCGGCTTGGCTCGGCGTTCCCCGGAGGAGTTGCCCCTCGCCCTTTCGCCGGCAGAAAAGCCGCTCTGCAACCCTGATCCCGGAGGCCTCAGACACTCGGAGGCTTTGCAGAGGCTGGGGGCGCGGTGCGGGGGTCGGCACCGCCGCACTAAAACGCGGCGGGCATCACCCCCCACCCCGGCCCGGCCCCGCCGCTCCCCCCGCGGCCGCTGAGGAGTTCATGGCATCCCTCCCCCGAGCCGAGCATCCTCCCCCCGCAGGCAGCCCCTTCGGTCCGTGGCGCGGGGGCCGCGCGAACTTTGTGCGGCGCGGCACGTAGGGCGCAGACGGGGCAGGGATGCCCCCGGTGCCGGGGCCGCGGCCGGGGCGGCCCGGGAGCCGGCGGCGGGCGGAGGGGGGGAGCGGCGGGCAGCCCAGGTACCGGGGGTGGGCGGCGGGGGAACGGGGCGGGCGAGAGTCGGTCCGGCCCCCGCTGCCTCCGCCGGACTCGGTGCGTAGTGGAGCGCGGAGTTGTGGGCAAACTGCGGCGCAGCATCTCGGGGAGCGCCGGCGGGTCCCCCGGGGCCGGGAGCGCCCCGGGAGCGCCGGGGGAGCTGGGGGCAGGCGCGGCCCCGGGCGGGCGGGTGCAGCTGCCGTGTCGGTGTAACAGCGCCGGGATAGCGCATGGATCACCAGAAGGTGTTGACACGGGGTTAACCCTTCCCGGCTCCTGCCTTTCAGCGTTCTCTGCTACAGCCCGAGCCCAGCTAGAGGCGGATTTTTGAAATTCAGATGAGGAAGGCGTAAATATTTTATTTGGGGAAATGGGTTTTTCGCGTGCATAGGCAGAGCTCTCTGTGTCAGTGGCTCTCTGTGCGATGTAACGCCACACTGAAATTGACTTACCTGTGCAGATTTCGTGGCAGTTTTTTTGACAGGCCGGCAGTGTGCAGGCTCACAATTAGCTGCACCCACGTTTGGGCCAGCCCTGTTCCGAAAAAGCGCCGGTTTATACCTGTAACGCTGGGCAGGGTGTACAACGGCACATCTCCTGTCTTGCCGCCGGTACAGATAGACGCTGCGAAAGGGTAACAGCCTGCATCTGGGAAAAGGCAACATGCTGGGAAAGCATCCTTTGGGTTTTTAGTACAGGCATTCTTATTCAAAACTGCCTCGAAAGGCGGGGAAGATACTACGCGTTGTTTTACTTGATACATGGGAAGATAATCCAACTTTTTTTTTTGGTTACTCATCTCCCGTGTGTAACCTCAAGTAGTGCTCATAGTTGGAGAAAGAAGAATGGTAGCGATTCGAAGAAGTCTTTTTTAATTTTTTTTTTTTTTAATTTTGGGCCTAAGATACGTTTGTTTTAAAGTTTTGAAGTGTTCAGCTTCTTTCTTCTATTTTCTTCAGAGACGTTCAGAGTAAAGAAGGTAACAATTAGATACTTCTGATAGTTGCGCTGTAGTACTCTATTTGGAGTATTAAATGGAAATTGAGAGAATTGACACAGAAGCCAGCTTCAAACTATACATGTATCTCCAGTCTGGCAATTGTTGAATTTCATTTGAAAAGGATGCTTTGTTCAGCTTTGTCTCAATTTAAGTACAGATTTATTTTGAAGATTAAAGATCAGAACAGTGGGAAGCAATTGCAGCTTATACACTTACAATCTGACTGAGAGTCAACTTAAAAGTATTTAATACAGCTTTTTAAGTGTCCTCTTGTCATTTGTTTTACGCCAGTTAGTCGCAATTTCTTTCTGTAACGTGGACTGTTACAAACATTATAAAAAATGCCTATTATCTTTATGTATAATTCATTCTCGTGAACAAATTAGATTTTTCTTCCATGAGTGAACTACAATATGAAATTTAATGTTCTGACCTTTCTTATGTTGGGTTCCTGCAAACAGTGTAATTTAGCTTTTTTGAAAGCTCAAGCATATTTTTGTTGTTGGTTTAATGCATTGTTTTATATTGTTGCTTTTAATTGTGGAAAAAAAATAACATTACACATGCAGCTTTCACACTACTTCTTAATATATGAAGGCTCCAAAGTTCTTGCAGTGTAAAAGAAAAACTCTTTATTTTATTTTTTGTTTTCTGGGAGCTCTGGTGGCCTGTCTTGTTAATGACAGTAATTTCTCTGGCAGGAAGATGTTATCATTTGTATTTACTTCTCAGTACAGGGCAATTATGCTGCTCTGCTGTTGTGCACTCTTCACAGTTTCTATCTCAAAAGAACTGCAGCGCTTGGAACAGGACTGCAGTTTGAAGCAGGTGTTGTGTTTTACTGTTATGCAAAATAACACTGAAATATAAGTGTAAAGGAAATTCAGGAAACAGCTGCAAACTTGGCGTGGTAACCACTACGATGTGTGAGCAGTCCTTGCAGCATCTTCCATGGCATCTAGCACAGCAAAGATGTGTTCCAGCAAAGCTCACCCTTGCTGATTTCTGCTGCTGAAACCTCGCTCTCATGAGAGAGGTCCTCCAGGTCTCACAGGGGAGGACCAGGCTGTGACCACAGTTACAGTGCTCTGCCATCTCTAGTGACAGTTTTTAAACTGCTGCTTTTCCTTTTCATTTCATCTTCATCATTTTTTTTCCTTTTAATTTTTTCCTTTTGCTTTTTTCCCTTCTGACACTAAAGAAGATGAAGGATAGAATCGAGCTACCAGGACGAAGGTTGCAGAATGTCTCAACCCAACCAACATATGGAAGCCTACATAGGCCTGAGGTGGTAAAATAGTAAAATAAATGGCCTATAGCAGGCCATCTGCCATTTGCAGAGCATTTTCATCGTGCCTCATGCCAAACTGGAAATTACGTTCTTTGTATTAAAAATATATTTTGAATACAAATCAAAGATTTCAAATGCTCAGCGTTACACATGGCAAGCACATTTCTATCTGGGAGCTAGAGAAATCCAGGGAAATTGCACTGGAAAAACATTGCTTGGTTTGATGCTCAGGGCTCAAGTCATTCTCTTCTCTTTCCCATCTCTTTGTCTTCCCAGTAAGCAAGGATTTACTTTTGTGCAATGCACTGCAGGTAGGGAAAGTCCACTCTTGGCAGCTAAAGGGAAGAATTTCAGTGGAAAGTGGTGATTTCACCAAGTCCAGGCAGCGAGCACAGCGTGTCCCAGCTGAGGACCTGCCCCATAAACGGGGCCTTTACAGGGCTGCTCGTCTTGAAAGTATCCTTCGACCATGGGCTGATCCATTTCCACAGAAATGGAAAGGAAGGCAGCTGAGATATGCCCAGGCTATTGACTGGAGAAACCCAAGCTGGATTTTGCCCAGGAAGCTCAGTGGAGCTTGTTTGGGAGGTTCTGGCTGCTGGGCTGTGCTGATATGACAATACACATCCAGGCCTGACTCAAAGTGTGTGTAAGAGCACTCTGGAGAAGCCAAAGATGCAGAGATGCAAAGACGCAGAGAGAGGGAAGAGCCTGTTTCTTTCATTTTTATGCAGAAATATTTTTGCATAAAATCACGCTTAAGTCAGATAAATGATCGCTGTCTGCTAACGGTGAATCCAAACCAGTTTCAATGCTAGTGAGCTATAATATGGATACTTTGTTAACATTGCCTCGATACTCTGGCACATAAACACCTCCATCAAAGGTGTTTGGGTGTGCCTTTTGGTGTGCAATTGTAACATGTTCTTTACAGCAGTTTCTTGTAAGTTTCTCAGTTGTTTAAAGCCGCAGCAGCAGCTTGAAAATAAGTGTGCATATTTGTGGAAAGTCTTTTGTCCTTCAGGAAGCTAGGTCCACTTGTGAGTTTTCATGGTTGCAATGAGCACGAGATGTTATTTAAAATCAAGGATACCAAATGGAGAGTATTTAACTGGAGCTTTCAACACAGATATTTTATTTCCCCCACCCCCTGAAGATAAAGCCTTACTTTAAGCATTCGTCCTTTGGATGTGTCTAATGATGATGGAGTTGGATGATGAGGTAATTAAAAAAAACCAAAGTGAATAGCAATGCGTGGAGACGGGTGATGGGTGCATCAGGAATACAGGAAAAGATCTCAGATCTGAACAGGTCTCAGATCTGAACGGAAGTCAGGAGAGCGTGGAGCAGTAGGTCAGTGTGTGTTTACATCTCGTGTGCTGTCTCTCCTGGCAGAGGTCGCGGCGTGGATGCGGAGCTGCTGGCAGTCGGGATCCGCCCGGAGCACAATGCCCTGCCCTGCCCCTGGCCTTGGGAAGCTGTGAGCTGCTCATGTCCATAAGGAGGAAGGATGGCTCATGGAATTCCTTCACAAGGCAAAGTTACCATAACGGTGGATGAGTACAGCTCCAACCCAACGCAGGCGTTCACGCACTACAACATCAACCAGAGCCGCTTCCAGCCTCCCCACGTGCACATGTGAGTATTCCCTGCTGTGTGCCTGCTCCAGGACAGCCGGCCAAACTGGGAAATCGCCTTAGTTAGCCATGGGAGCTGAGAGGCAGAACGGTCAGTGTTAAAAATGGGACCAGGCTCCTGGTACTAAAGTGATTTCAGCATTTATTGTAATAAAAAAGAAAGGCCTAAAGCAAGGCGGCCTGCGGGCCGAGCAGGAGCACTCCCGTCGGGGATGCTGCAGTGTTGGCACTGGATCTTCTTCAGCAGCGATGTCCCCGATGTTTCAGGTGGAGCAGCACAGCTTCCCTGGCTCAGATGCCCCCTTTTTATCCTGTTCTTTGGATTGGTTTCTTTTTGGATCCTTCATTTGCATGAAGGTTTAAGGTGCTTGATGGGCCCGGTACAGTTCTATCCAGGCTGGCTCATTTCGCTTGGGGGCTGCTGCACTTTACTTGTGTGTAATGCAGCACGCTGAGTACCTTATGTCTTATAATTGCCTTTTTAACCCCTTTTACAATATAACAACTAAACTAACAGTACACGCTTAACAATTATAAACTATTTTACAACAGTTTCTGAGCTGTTTTTAACAGTTAGCGGGGTTTGCACACGGTGTGTGCTGAGGAGCGGAGCTCCATCCCCTCCTGGATGGAGGTGCTCGGTGCCACCACCTCGGTGGCACTCCCGTGCTCTCAAGCTTGTCACTTCACTGATCTTGCTTTCACTCGCCTGAGGGACCCATTGCTGTAAGATTTAAGCTCCCTTCCCCCAGCAGCTTACACTCAGCTGCGAAATAGGCCTAATTGGGACTAATTGTTCCCCCCCCGCTCAGCGAATCCTTTGTCCTCCCGGTTGCGAGCGGAACGTGTGCCGCATTCCACATTCCACCCGCAACCTGCCGCACAAAGGAGCCGGGGCTGCCCCGCGGCTCCTCCGGAGAGCTGCGAGCCCTCCAGACACCTCCCTGCAAACCCTCCAGACACCTCCCTGCAAGCTCCAGCCCCGGCCCCATCCAAGGGACCAGCACGGCAAGCGGGGAGCTGGAGTGGAGGTTCCTCCTTCCCTCCCCTCGTTATTCCTGGCTGTTGTGGCACCCAGGGTTGGCACCTAGGCACAAAAGGGCTGCTTGCTCAGCAGAGCACCGGTTCCAACTCTTGTATTTCCTTCCCATTGTTTAGTGGGGTTTGATCTTTATCGGTTATTTACGTGAAGGTTCTTTTTCTCCTAGCATTAATAGACTGAAAAGCACGTGAAACTAAAACAAAGCCGACATCCCTGGACATCCTGCGAGCCATTGTTAGGCAGGATTTTGAACCATGTCGCACTATTGAATTTGATAAGGATTTTGCATAATAAGGGGGGAAAGTTCTATGGTACTTCATTGCATTTTTGTTATGTAGAAGCCTGCCGGAAGAGTCACAATGTAGGAGTTCAGCACCTTCTAATAGGATTTCATGTGGTTACAATGTTCCTAAAGGCAACTTTAGGAAGGATGCTGACGAATGTATGTCATGCAATCACTTCTCAAGGTGGAAAACTTCCCATTAACTTTGATTTTTAGAAACATTTCCATGTCTCAGTTCACTTTTCAGACCTTTTGCCAGCAAATTTCTGTTGCGTGTTTTGCACTCCAGGCTGTGCTTCTGACTGACATTAAGTACTTAGAGAACGAATTCAAAGCAAACAAAAGAAAATCAGAAAGCAGTTTTAAAGAACCCCTTCCTGTTGAGATTGACTTGAGTGGGAGCTGCATTTAGGACTAAGTGTGGTGTTCAACACTGTAAAAATTGCTCATGCTGTGTTTAAAAACCTCACAAACATAGAGGCACTCCTCTAAGTGATAGTGTAAAATGATACTAACTTGATGGATGTCGTGAAAGATACTTGTTTGGAAAAACTCTGCAGTTGAAATAAACACTGAAACTTCAAAGTACGGTACAGTGAGAAAAATTTAAATAATTTTAAACTTTAAATACTGCAGCTTCCTTAAAATCAGAAATTTGGGTTCAGTGCAGGGTGTGGCGCATGAAAGGGAGGCCAAAATTTCGAAAAACTGGCAATGAATTAGTCTCAGATTCACAGTGGAAGCAGACAGACATGTTCCAGTGCAGGAGCTGAGTTCAGGTACAGGTCTGGGTAGCAAATAACAGGTTTTACAAAACTTGTTGAGAAACAAAAGAGGGGATTCTGCCAGGTAGAGGACAGCAAGGAAGTGAAGATCTGAGTGTGCTGAGAGTTTGTGTGATGTGAGAACAGCAGAATTGTTGCTGGGGAGAGGAGACTGGATTTTGTGGTAGCTTCAGATGGAGTCTTTATTTGGCTTTTAATGTATTGTAATGGAAGTTTGGTGTGTTCATCTGAAAGAGGTTGTCATCAAGTGAGAAATCTTAAGAGAAAATTGGTAAAAGCAGTATTAACAAAGAAACCATGATCTTTTTACCCTGTTCCGGCTCTGTTAGTGCTACATTGCTGCAGCTGCCAGGATTGATTTGATTTGGTTTTACAGTCTGCTTTTCTTTGTTGCTGTCTTTTAGAGTGATGCATGTGTGTGGTTTGTTGGTTTATTTTTCTTTTTTTTTCTTTTTTTCCTAAGAGGGAGTTTGAAGACGCTTTATTCTCTAGTGAAAAATATATTTTAAAAATCATGGGATGAAGAGAAATGAGTGGAGCAACATGGGGGCTGAGTTTTGTGCCACCTATGTGAACAGCAGGGCAATCTATTGCTGCAGGACATAAATCAGGAGCTGGGTGCAGCTTAAGGACAGTGCTCTTTGCTAAAGGAAATACTGGGTTTAGGAGCAATTTCTTTATGGATATGCTGTGCAAAGGTGAGAACTGGTTCCTTGGCCTACGCTGAGCCATTTCCAAGGTCCTGTATCCTTTGGGCCTAACTCTGATTTTACAGAGTAGGAGAGTCCAGGGAGCATCACCAGCATAAATCTGGTGAGTAAGGCACTACTGGCACTACTTTGCCACTTCATGTGTCCTGGGCTTCTTCTCTCACTTTTATTTTGTGCCTTTCATGTAGTTCAATCAGCTGGGATAGAGTTCTCTTATCTTTATATGTATTTTTTATACTCCTTAGTCAATTTGTTTAAACATAGTGTCAGTTAACAACAGAATATTTGTTACAACTCCCTTTGCTGGGGCTGGCAGCAACAGCAGTTTTGTCTGTGTAGTTTTTAAATCAGTTTGTCCAACCATTTAATTTTATTTAATTTCATTTCTTTACTAATTAATGTTTGAACAGGTATTCTAAAGGCAATTTTTGCTGCACAATTGTTTTGCATAAAGGGATGTAATCTTAAAAATTATTCTGTCATCTTGAAGCGATGCTCCCACTCACAGGTCTTAGTTACTTTCTGACTGTTACAAAGTGCTCGTATTTGAATGCTTTGTCCAGTTAGTGTTTAGTTTTAATTAACAGCATCATCTTAGCCCCCTGCTTTCAAGCACAGCTGCAAAATAATAACTGTAATGTTATAGTTATTAATATTATAACACCTATAATATGCTTCTCTGTGCTTCATGTTGATTATTACTCTTTTTAAAGTTCTCGTACTTTCAAATTTTTTGGCAAGAATCATGACTTAAAGAGGGAAGGGCTTCTTGCTCCTTAGGTGCATAAGAGTATATTTGAGGGGTTTTTTGGGTGTTTATTTTTTAAACCAAACCAGCTTTTCAGCCTGCTTAGACTTTTGAAACATTCTGTGTGAGGTTGCTAGCAGTGAGCAGCAGTGAGATAAAGCCTGGGGACAAATTCAAATGAAAAACTCCTTCCTTAGGTTTTAACCAGACAGAAAAATCTTCCTGTTTAGGTGCAATGCCCCATTTGCTTGTAGGGAAAAAAAAAAGAGTGAAATAAACCTGGTGTATCTGTTATGGATAATGCCCCTTTGGACAGGCCTGTCTGGTGAGGATGGGGGAGTTTTGTGAAGATAAAATAATAAAATAGATATAGTCCCTGCAGGCTGAGCCTTTTAGAGGAGTGGTGGCTTCTTTTTTAGGGTAGTTTGAATGCATGTTAACACTTTGTTCTGGTTTAAATTCAATAGTAGGGGAGTGAGAAAGGTATGGGTTTCTGTGCCAGAGCAAAAGTCCTCTAAATAAGTTTATTCATACCTGGAGATACATTTTTCCATCTGTAACTATATAATTTTACTGCCTTTTCTGTACTAGAGCAATTTCCCCTGTGAATATTCTTATTTTAAAGAGTATAAGCGGAGTTTTATGTTGGTGAAAATATGTATTTGGTTGAATAAAGTACTTAAATGTCTGTTTGCAGATATGTATATATTAACATGTGTATCTATATTTATACATATATATGTATATATATTTATAATATATAAAACTGAAACTTCAAAGTAGGGTACAGTGACAGAATTTTAAATAATTTTAAACTTAAGTACTGCAACTTCCTTAAAATCAGAGATGTGGTTAAAAATCCTGGTTTAAAATCAGAATGTAATAATAAAAAAAAATAAAACCACATCTATTTGATCATAGGAGGAAAAGCTTTCAGCTGTGCTGAAACCTTACATTGTTAGAGTCTTATTAGACTGCTAACCTTGACAGAGAGGATCTTGGTTTGTTTTTTTTTTGTTTTCTTGGGGAAAATATCCTGCATTTAATGGGCTTTATAAACTCCCCCTGAGATTAGTGGCAAATCGTGGACTTGATTTGCAGCAGCCTGGATTTTAGTTTCGTGTAAGGTGTGTGATATTTGGCGTTAGCAAAATATGAACTCATTTGACATTTACAGAAAAGTGAAGCTGGTACATGTAGTGTTGTTGGTTGAGAAAAAAAGAGATTCAGTCTTGGAGCAGTCAGCTGTACCTGACTGGGCCGGCTGTTTCAGCTGCTGCTGATGTGATAGAGCTGGTGTAGTTTTGCTGGAAATTGTTGCTCTGGCCATTAATAACACACACTATATATAGATATATATATAAAATAAGCAAATATATATATAAAATAAATAAATAAATACATAAAATAGATATAATTTATATATAAAAATG